CTTCGGCCCCCTTAGTGTGTTCTCAGTTTAGACAGCTCTAAGATCAGATAAAGTTCGTGGAAGTTGCCTGAACATGCAAAAGCTTAAAAATAAAAGAAAAATCTTGCAAAGTGTTTGGCATCCCTGAAGGGGCAAATGTAAACACAAGTGCACAAGGCAAAGAATGAGCCCTGCTTTGTTTTGCATGCAATTATTTGTTCAATAGCTAATTTTATTTAAAAAAAAAAAAAAAAAATCAACAAAAAACAAGGATGTCCCTTTACCAAGACTGCGAAGGATTTTGTTCATTCCAGTTGGTTCTGTCTCTGGTATACTCTCCAAATACTCCAAGGCACGGACCTCAAAAAGGCCTAAACAGAGGGGGGAGGGGGAAATCACTCACCTCTAGGCCATTCCATCTTTTAACATGTGGCATCTTACATCATTAACAAGGAAGTTACAAAAAGGAAATCATGCAGGTAACATAAGCTGCAGGATCAAGCCCAGAAAGGAGAGATGCAAAAATGGCTTCATAAGATGAATTAATTAATTCTATTGAGTAATTAGAAGGGCATGGAGCTATTACATACGCCAAAATGCCAATGGGATAACTCGCCAGGGCAAAAGGCTTCTTAAGAGTCAAAGTCACATGACATTATACTTTGAAAGTGAGTTGGTAAAACAAGAAAGTAAGATCCTCACCTTTGACCATGTTCTTACTTAGCTCTCGATCCTGTATGAACCCTGCAAACATCTGTGTTTCCATAAAGAAGCGCAAGAAATGACGCACATTGTGTGACACATGAGATTTACGGAACAGTTCCCGCTGAAACACCCGCTCCCCTTTTTCTGTGACATTCATGTGCAGGGAGTAGTGTCCAACAATTTCCACAAAGAAATGCACAAAAGCTTCAGAGACCAGGGAGTTAAGAGGCGTGTCACCTATGAAGAGGACAACAGAGGAGAAATTTCCCTCTACATTCATCACTTTGGTCATTCCTCTTCTAAAAGAGTAGCAGCAGTTAGTTTTTAGGCTGTCTCTCTCAGACTATGAAATTTCAGATGAGTGTTTGATATCAAAGAAGCCATAGCTCAAATATTAAGATTTCTTTCTCATGTCAACTTTCTGCTGCAGCTGAGACAGGTTCCATTCTAAAGATTTTCCAGTAGCTAAAGCAATCATAATTTCTTTTTCCCTGTCAAACATCTAGTGTCTAATAAGCTGTAAGATCATAACAGTCTAATTCTCTTAAAGAATTAGGCAAATTACAGAACACAAACTCACTAGAAAGCTAACTTTGTTACTTCTGATGTGCATGGAATTACGTAATTTGCCAATGCCATTCTCTCAAGGTACTCAATGCTTTTTAAAATTCTCACACTTATTTATCTGATAGATTATGTATAAAGCAGTTCAACTTTGAAAATTATGTCAGATTACCCTCTAAAGTTGCTACATTCTCTAAGAAAAACGTTCTCTCTGCCACTTAAGAAAAATCAACAAAAACTCAAAGCATGGGAACTGATGTACTTGGCCCAATGAAAACTACAGCTCTACACATACTGATTGTGAAAAGAGGAACAATTGTTAGGACACCAGACTTCTAACACATTCACAAGTTTGTTCACAGTAAGATCACAGGAAAATAGCTTTCTAAAATGTCGCTTCCTAATGTTTATTTCCATTCACTCATTTTTACATCAACTACATGGAAGCTGTAGAGAATTGCTAATGTGAAAACACCTTTCCATGGAAGTACCTTGTGTGTCACTCTGCTCATGTGACAAGATTTCATTTCGTTCTTCCAAGACTTGTACAAGCGCAGCCCGGAGTTTATGAGGCAGGATCTCATCTTCATCTGATACCTAAAGAGAAAAACGGCCACGAAAGCATTTTTGTGTTACATCTATCATCAGTTGAACCTTCTCATAGTGAACAGATGAGAAATACTCATAATATGCCTAAACCAGAGGGAAGTTACTCTGTGATATGGTATATCTTGGTGGACACAATACATTTGTCTTGTAGCCACAGAAATGAAAAGCATCTGCTGAGCACCCTCTGACTACGCACTACTGGAGTCACACACACAACTGGCCAACACAGAACAATGTGTGCTATATCCAGTACACAGACTCAGGCTTATTATACCAGTGATAAAAACACAAGAACAACACAAGTCTGTTGAGGAAACATGACAAGTCTTAACATTATGGTTAAAAAAACTTGATCCTTTAATACCTTTCTCCAGTTGCAGGCTGCAATGCAAAATAGAACAGTAAGGCAAGGAAAAGGAGATGCAAATATCCTCCTGAACTAGTAATGCTCCAGTATGGTAATAGCTACTTGTCTGGTGATGCAGAAGCACATTAGCTAAAGTTCAGCAGAGAACCACAAGTGAACTGTGATAATTTGTCTCCTAGATTACCACTCCTAGGGAAAAAAAAAAAAAACACACCAACAAACCAAACCCACAAACACACCCCAGCTAGATGAGTGAGGAGAGAGCCCTGTAGAGAACAAGTACACAGAAAGACAAACATAAGCAAAGAATCTTAGTGGTCCACTTCACATAATAAACCAACAAAGTATCTGATTTTAAGTTCAGCTCAGATAAACAGCATCTTTGGCTTCACAGAACTCTGTACCTCATGCAATCTCAATCTTGCAACAAGGATTTGTAAGCCTGTTCCCTTCTCTATTGGTCAAAAAAGAACGCAAGATACTTCTTCAGCCACTGGAGTCTACATATGAGTACTAGCCTTTGCTGATTTCTTGTTTTCATCTTCTTTCATTGATGCTTTTTCCTGGCATATAACCGTAAGTATTGTTATTTCACTCACCTCTTGCAAGAACTTGTCAGCACAAAGATCAACAATCAGAACCTGGGGAAAGATGTACAAAACACACTGACTCTTATAACCAGGTATGTTGCTGTACAGAAAAAAAAAACACAACTTTTTTTTTTTTTCTAAATGTCCCCAGTAGCAGGGGACGTCACACACAAAACACAAGTTTTGCATAACTGCAGCATAACTGCATAAGAACAATAAATATTATTTAGCTTTGATAACAATGGAACACCCTGACATGTATCTGGCAAGTTCACCAACTGTCTCAGAAAAGTTTAAGAGTTTATATTAAGACAGAATCCACAGAGATGGTTCCAGAGAGGTCAGCCTCATACCACTGACATTGTCCCTCCACTGTGCTTCACCCCATTCTCACCTCTTCTATGGGCAGGTCCTGGAGCTGTGGTAATGAGCAGGAGAGAATGCCGATTAAGAATGGGGTCGGAGAACACACAATATCAATCATAGAAGTTGGTAGGACTGGTATGTAGGTGTGTTGCCAAGTGAAGGGATAAAGTGTTGCAACTGCGGCATGGCCACATTTAGACAGAGTGCTAGAAACATAAGAGAAGCACAGAGTGGATTGTCAATGTCTCATTCAGCACTGAGCTACAGACACAGGTTAGAAATGCCCAGGGAAAATGTAATTCATGTACATTGTTCATGCATCAGCAGAAGCCCCATGCATCCACTTTTAAAGACAGTTATGGGGAGCTAGGAATAGCATCAACCTAGACTAAAGAGGTAAAGGAAACATTCCTTTATCTCCTCTTGGGTAAATAGCATACCCCAAATTCTAAGTATGCACATGTTGTGTGGAAAGTTGGCAAAAAGCTTTTAAATGTAACTATTTACAAGAAGTTAGACAAGCTTGCACATGAAACAGGCCCAAACGCAGAAGAAAAAATAGTATCCCTCAGAGACAGCTAGTCACTCAGACTCATTTTTTACCTTAAGTTGTCAGCAACAAAGATCACCCTCCTTTCCAGCAGGAGAGAGGCAAAGACACGAATCGTGTGAGGGACACTTAGACACTTGAACAGGCATTCAAAGTCAACGTGTTCGAGTCGAGAATCCAATGGACGGCAGAGTTCCATCACCTGAGAGGCAAGCAGAGATGCAGAGCGCTGGAGGAGAAAGCCACAGCGCAGAGTCAGGCCAGACGAGGGGCAGCCTGGCTGGAGCACAGAACTGGTGGCTCCGCAAAAGTGGAACCCCGGGGCCTGGGCAGGCGGCACAGGGCATCACAGAGGACCCCCAAGCAGCTCTTCCTTAAAAAGCAGGGAATCACTTCTACGGTAGATCACTCAACAGCAGTCCAGTTTCTGCAACAGCCTCCCTTCAGACTTTAGGACATTTAGGCTGGGGGAAGAGTGGTTAGAAAGCAGCCTAGTGGAAAAAGACCTGGGGGTACTGGTCGACAGGCAGCTAAACATGAGCCAACAGTGTGCCCAGGTAGCCAAGAAGGCCAATGGCATCCTGGCTTGTATAAGGACTAGTGTGGCCAGCAGGACTAGGGAAGTGATCATCCCCCTGTACTCACCACTGGTGAGGCCGCACCTCACATCCTGTGTTCAGTTCTGGGCCCCGCACTTCAAGAAAGATATTGAGGTGCTGGAGTGAGTCCAGAGAAGGGCAATGAAGCTGATGAAGGGTCTAGAGGGTAAGTCTTATAAGGAATGGCTGAGGGAGCTGGGGTTGTTCAGCCTGGTGAAGAGGAGACCTTATCCCTCTCTACAATGACCTGAAAGGAGGTTGTAGCAAGGTCAGGGTCAGCCTCTTCTCCCAGGCAGCTAGTGACAGGACAAGAGGGCACAGTCTCAAGCTGCGCCAGAGGAGGTTCAGGTTAGACATTAGGAGGCATTTCTTCACAGAAAGGGTTGTTAGGCATTGGAATGGGCAGCCCAGGGAGGTGGTGGGGTCACCATCCCCGGAGGTGTTTAAGAAAAGACTGGACGTGGCACTTAGTGCCATGGACTAGTTGACACAGTGGTGTTACATCAAAGGTTGGACTTGATGATCCCAGAGGTCTCTTCCAACCTAATCAATTCTATCATCTTCAGACTAATCATTTACAGGCACCATCACTCTACAGTGCAGTTTGCCAAGTGCCACTACGCCCCAGAGACACTATCAACACAGGAAAGCCAGTCCTGATTTCCGTTACCTCATTTCCTGCTCCTGGCAGGAAACTCCTCACAGTAATCGTGCGTCCAGGAGCAGGGAAAGGCGCCTCCATTACACTACGCATAAATGGGTGTACTAGGGCTGGGGACATCTCTCGCCTCTTCTCCACTTCATCTAAAATCTGCAAGAAAATACAATGGACGTTGGTCCACTCCTACTGGTGAGCCAGAGGAGATACGATCCTCTGTTACGTGCCATAGCTACACATGAAGGCTGCAACCAAGACTCACAGCCCTCTCCCCGCTCACTTGGGATCCCCATGAAATCTCCTTTCAAATGTCTGAACAATCAAATGGGAATAGATACCTGTGAGTACAACTCTCCATTCTCAAATCCAGTCTCCTGCTACTGCAAGGAAATGCCTCGTATACGGTAATCAAATTCTCACAACTAGTTAGAGTAAGAAGAGCAACACCCTATCCTCCTCCCCAAGAAATCCTTCTGAAACTGTTCCAGAAATGTCATGCTCCAACGATTAGCAGTCAGCTTTCATCATAGGCTTGCCCCTGTATTCTTCTGCAATAGCTGCCCTTTACCTGCAGTAGCTTTCCTCAGACTTTACCTCTTTACCTACTGTCCTCATGGTGCTAGGAGAAACAAGCTGAGATCTCCTCCCCTGACCCCTAAACTGATTTTCCATTTCCAAGTCATGAAAGAAGAGGATGAAGGGGCACCATCAGTAGTATCAGGTATTAGAAGCCATTTCCTGACAATACTTCGCTGAAGGAATAGTTGTCTCTGTATCGGCTGACAAGTCTCAGCACTAGTATCATTTCATTTGCCCTGTCAAAGCAAAGGAGGCAAGGAAGAACCACTCTCCTGGGATGAGTTACAATCGCTAAGCAATTCTAGACTGGAGAGAAGCATCCAGTTACTTTCTCGAGCTTGCAGGTTGTCAGAGACTGAAGTCCAATAAGAAGTAACAGGGTCTCCCCACTTCACCTTGGAGAAGAGGTTGAAGCAGCCCAGGCGGCTAACGATGCAGTATACCTCAGGAAGGCGCTTCCCTTTCCCTTCTGGCTGAAAAGCAACAGGAAGAGTTATGCTGAGAACAGGGATGCAACAAAGAACCCAGCACCTACACTATAGCTGATTTGCAGAATTCCTTCTGCTGTAGTTCCCTCTACACTTCTGACTTAAAGGATTCCTGAGAAATGACCAGTTCCAGGAGTTGTCTTTCATGCCCAGAGCCCATTTGACTGTATTGCTGGGCATCATCATGCTCCTTCCTTTATGCATTCAAAGGGCTGGTAACCTCAGCAGCAGCACAGGTGCTACATAACCCACATGGGAAATTACTGCTGATTCATGTCCTGCACTTTACCAATGCATTCTTTACACTACACCCAACACACAGATGTTTACCAGGAGCTTCTTGCAGTACCCAAACCAGCGGCTGCCATCCTCACCCGTCAACACAAAAGAAAATGTTTCACTGGGGAAGCAAAGAACAGTCAGGGTTAAATTCAACATGCAATTCAGAGAAGAGACTGACAAACAAAGCAGATAAACTACAAGCCATTCTCTTTCTGGTCATGCTGAAAGCCCTCTGCTGTGGTTCACAAGCTACTTCAGGCTCTATTCAGTGTTAAGACCTGCAGCCCATGGACTCTCCTTGAGCTACTACAGCTCTTTTCCTTCCCAGCTACTTCTCCATTCTGCCAAGGAGCAACAGAAGTACTTGCCAGCTCCAGGAGCTGGCCTTGAACAGACATTACAAACTTTCTTCTTACAGGAAAGACAGTGCTCCAGCAGAAGTAGCACTGCTGAGTCCACCTCCATATCTCATCTTCCCCTATCACAGGGGTTAGGGATTCAGCCTTTCCCATTTTTCCTTGCCCTGGCTGCAGTTCCTCTGGTTCGGGAAAATGGCACATACCTAAGCTTTCAGCATTGCCCATTTTCAGGCATAAGTATTCAAAAACAAGTCTTTACCTTTTAAGGTCTGATGCAGGAAACCAGTCTTTGGGATCTGGAAAGCAGAATTTGGGAATGACCTTTAGCCTCTCTTCAGTATCCTTTGACTGTCTGAAGGGATGTTCAGGCTGGAGGGGTAACACATGCATTTGAAGTCACTGAAGTGCGGTGCACAGCTGCAGCATTTAAAACAATGGGAGACAGTATCTTCCTGACACTTCCAAATGCTGAACCATCAGATAGCTAATGCACAACTATAGGAGAACATATTCTGACTATAACAGATTCCCAGTTCCCTCTTGCATCTTTCCTGCCGATTCGAGCCTTGTAAAATTACCCAGCTGGGCTTGGTAAGAACTGAGTAAGGATTTACAAGCATGTCCAAGTTTATTGGGGAATGAAGCTAGAACTGATCCCTCAAATGATGGTAATGTCAGCTTGCCTCAGTTCTATTCCTAAGAGATCTGAAGACACTAAGAGGAACAGGAATGTGTTCAGCTTGTGATGTGCAGATCACTCATAATTCAATTGTGAAAAGAGTGTATCTGAATTACATGTTCCAGTTACCATGTGTGGGCTGAAGTCAAATCCCCCAGAGACTACAGGACAACTTTCCATGCTCAAAACTGCCCAGATAGGGCAAAAGGAAGCTTTTCAAATAAGAGAGATCACATTCAAGTAGAAAATGGTCCTGAGAAGAAGAAAGTTTATTGTATAAAGCTGATTATAGACACTGTACTCTCAGTTGGCGCATCTAGGCTATTCCAGTGTCCCAGGCTGTGGCAGTCTGAAGGAGTGGTCAGGAAAATAGTACAGAATTTTCAAAGAATAACAGTTGTACAAAAGGTTTGATGTCCTTGGGCATGCAGCCCAAAGAAGAGGGTGACAAGCAGATAACTTGGAAGCAAGGCTATTTTTAGAAAGGAGACAAATCTGTAATCAGAACACCTCCATAATTACTGGGCAATGTTTCCTCCAAAATCCCAACATAACAGACTGTCCCATATAAAGTCACTCACTAAAACACTTTAACTTGAGCAGAGGACAAACAAACACTGAGAAAATAATTTGTTTTGTTACTGCATTTATAAAAGCCAGTAAAGAGCCACCTGGTACAGTTGGATCTGATTGTCTGCTAGGGCATCAGGAAAAGAACAATGCACTGCCCTTCCCAAAGGCAATGAACAGACTGAGAGGTTGCACGATGGAAAAGCTAAATCTGGTTACATTCCTTTCTTCCTCCTAACACCCTAAAATTTGCACTTTTAGCAAATATTATTTATGTATGTCCAGTTTTACCCACTAAATTAAGACTGTGCACTCTTCCTGGCTGTAGTTCCTTATTCATTTTGTCAATTCAAAACATTTTACACATTTAAGATACTAGAGTTCTTTGCACATAATTCCCTTATGCAGCTGGACACTATGGGTCCTGCTGGAGTCCCACATAACCTCCCTTAATGAATCTGACATCTCCTTCTCTATTTGGATGACATACAGATTCCTTAATTATCTCTGGCTTACTCCTGGTAGCACAGCTAGAATCACTAGTTTTGTTCTGTTTTTTAGTGGAAGGCAGCAGGTACAAGCCTAGGTGGTGACAACAGAATATTTATTTCAATCTGGAACCACAGAAGAAAGCATCAAGGCTCCATCCTCTTAGCTTCGCATAACTACTGTGTACGCTGAGTCATAATTCGGAGTCACACGCTGATCTTGTCATCCATTTGGGCTGAACAGACAAAAAGAAAGCTTATTTCAAATCACTTGTTCTAGCTACAGAACTTTAACTTCCACAGTTCTCCTCTACTTTTTGGTGGCTAGTACACATAGCTTTGCCATTTATTTTTTTTTTTCCCAGAACAGTATAAATTAGCGTAAAAACCCTGAGATTCTAATTCCTGTGCACCATCAGTCAAATTGCTTCACTCCTTGTTTATAAATCACAGACTACCAGGATGAGATCATGCCAGCTTTGGGAACAGAGCACTGCACTCCCTTTCCTCTCCTGCAGGCTGCCTCAGCAGAGTATCACAGTACAGTATGGCTTTATGATATTTCCATGCAATGAGAAGTAGAGTAGGAGCCTTCCTACTTCCAAAAAAAGACAGTAAACTCTTTATGAAGAAAGATATACAACAACAGCCCAATGCTATACATTAGGTCTGTAACAGAGCAAGGTGCTTCATATTCCAAGCTTGTATCCTAACCAGTGGGCCAGCTTTACTGGTATAGAGTTTAGGAAGGCAAACACACTATGAGAAGGAATGAACAGCTGCTGAGTGTGTTTTGTCGGCAGGTTTCCATGCAGCTCCTACCTTGCTGGGAAACTGCTGTATGATCTGTGGTGTGTACGTCATCTCAGATGCCTTCTTGTGCAGGGACACCACCACAAACAGCTCAAATAGCCGCTGCTCTTGAAGCTCTATCAAATCCCTCTCCAAAGTCTGGTAGTGCGGGTTCCTCTTGGGCCCTGACTGTACGTGCAGCAGGCACCCATGTCGACCTGAAGAAAGGAACAAATCCAAAACCAGCCTGTGGCTATCACTACCACACACCTACAGGTCACAGAAGAGGACTCATCACCACCTTTAGAAGGGGGAACACAGATGGGTGCATTTGCCTAACATCACTGCTGCGCTCTACGGGACTTGGGATTTCTGCATCAGCTCCTCAAGCACAGACCTGTTCCAGATAGCGGAGCACTGGTCTTGCAGCAGCTCTGCAAATCCCTCTTGACCGACCGCTAGCATTCTCCTGCTGTCCTGGCATTCTTTCCGCACATATCAGAGTGATGCTCTGGTAACGATGAGGGAAGCCCAGCTGTGAGAAGAAGCCTAGCTCCACCAGTTCAGTAATTGCCAGGCCTCAGGTAGCTACTCTGTAAAGCAGCATGGACACTCAAGAGAGGCAGAGCCAGCTTCCTGGCCAAGAAACCTCCAGGCTGAGACGTCCTGACAGGCAGTACAGCCTTACAAGCACAGGCACAGCACTCTGATCTAAGAAATTCCTGTGGCCCAGGCACCATGACACATTCTGGACACTTTGAAAACAACTCTTAAATCAGGCAGTGACTCAATCACTGTATTTCTGCAGAGACTCTTCACTCTTCATAAAAAAGTGGAACTTCACTATTCATTCCAAGTTAAGGCCTTCTGTATGCTTCCTTAAAGTAAATGAAACATCTAAAAGAATTCCATTGGGCCTTTTCACTAGATGCTTGCTTAGAGACATGACAGTCACCCATCAAGGCTGCTGGCCAACCATTACCATTTCGCATTCAAACCTTACCAGCATAGAAACCAAGACCTCTTTGGTCCTTCCCACACCAGATAAAACCAAATGGGGATTTCAGGTCTGTAGCTTGGGGCTATGATCAAACTCAGGACTGTGGAACCAGACAAGTGATTTCTCCCCAGAGGAAAGGGCATTTCACAACATTATATGTATAAAACAGAATGAAGGGAAGTAAGTACGGGAAAAATAACTTCAAGTGTTAGCAGCAAAGGTGATCGAGAGACAATCTGCTGCAAGACATATTTTAGTTAAGCGTGACTCTGCCAACCCAAAAATGAATCTATTTCTAGCAACTGGCAGATTAATGGCATTAAACCTCAAGGGTTCAGAAGAAGTAGCAGAAATAGAGGTTGATTTATCACAGTAACAGCTCCCAGCTTTGGCCATGCTGCCCTTTAGATGTTCCCTTTCTCTGTCTTGGCAGAAGCCACAACTAGTCAGTGCGCTTATCCCATTAGAACCTTAGCAAATGTGTAGTGCTATGGGGACGGGACCAGCCCCTGTGAATCACTCACTTCTTGGCTGATTTTCTGTATCACTTTCATTCCCATTGGTTTCACCTGAAACACACATAGTTTTGACTTATTACGCATGCAGAAGGAAGATGGGCAACACCCAAAGTTGGGAAAGAGAGAACTTTAGACTCGTCAGACCAACATCACTCACGGCTGCCCAACTATCCTGCTCAAAGCATAAGCAAACAGCAGCCGGTACTGGCAAATGTGCTACAACAGTAAATTTCAGAAAGTGGAGTTGATATCAAGTCACTGTTTCCAGTAAATCACCTGTAGGTCAGCTGAACACAGGCAAAAAACAGAAATCAAGTGGTTATTTGATGCTGCTATGAAAGTTAACAGAGTTCCTGAACAGAATATACTATAAATAAAGACCATACCATGGCTACAAAATCAGAAGATCACAAGAGTATCACTTTAGAGGTACAAAAGTGATGAGTGGAGCAGTGAGAGGTAGTTCTCATGCCAAGTAGTTTTGTGGGAATGTTGGGGTTTGTTCTGCTTTTTTGAAAAAGCACTTTTAACCAGAAGCCCAGCTGTTCAAGCTCAGATCATAGCGAATCTTCCATTTGTGACAGTGTTAAACTTGGGTTAGGCAGGTGCTCCCAATCCTAGCAGTGCTGAAAGCTCAACAATTCCAGCTGCAAGACATGGTGTTCAGCACTGTCAAGTCAGCCCAGCATGAGCTGCAGGAGGTGGTGGTGCCTGGCCTGCTAGCAGTACCCCCAGGATGTCTGAGAACTGTGCCACTCAAGAGGTTTATAGCAGAGAGAACAGTGCTGGAGACCTCTATACCTTTCACTGGAGGCGCTTCTCTCCCAGCAGGACTGAGCAACTTCACCTTCTTCTTTCCACGCTTAGAATCAAAGATTTCCTGTATTTTTAGTACCAGCTGAAATCCAAAGCGGAAGCAGAGGTTAATGTCGGGGTCCAGAAAAGGGTCCAGGTGCCAACAGGACTGCAGCCCAACAGCTATCTTCTAGCACCACAACACTTGGGAAAGGCTGCCCAAGTCCTGCCAGGGACCTTGGCTCAACGACTGCTTGCTAGAGTACTTTTAGCAGAGCTCGCAGGATAATGAATGAGCACAGAAATTCTGCTACAAGAGACAGATTACTGTTAGCACAACTCAAAGCTGACACCAAACTGTACAAGCATTCTGGAAGTTATTATACTCTGCTTACCAAACAGATAGCAGAAGCGGCAAACTGTCTGGCATCAGATCTCCATTTTCTATTAGAGAGGCCAACTGCAAAGGCACTTGCAAGAGTATCTTATAAACCCTCCACCACAAAGGACTCTGAACTCCACGTGCTCTCAAGCATCCCAATTCCTTCCAACCCCAGAAAAATGTAGCTTGGGGTTTGGTTGGTTGGTTGGTTTGGTTTTTAAGTTTGCTGCTGTAGTTGGATGTCAGACAGCTTAAGTTCTCCAAAGCACCATGTCAGGCACAGAACAAGGCTTTAAGCACAGTATGTGTCCCAGGGTAGTTTATTAAAATGAAAGGATTATGTACTTTCATTTTGTGTAGGTGAAGAAAGACAGCGAGATAGAAAAATGGGCCTACGCTGCAGGCACACCACAGACCGGGTCCACTGGAAGAAAAAAATTTGGAAAAAAACACAGCCCGATGCAGACTAAGGTGCAGACATGAAAGAAGGGTCAGCATGTAGATACTCCACGTCCACACTGTTAACCTTCCTTCCACTGGTCAGAACAGCCTTAAAACCAAAGTCCTAATGCTTTCTGTTACTCCTGTCACAGGCCTCTCTGGACTCCCCTCTCTCAGCTGCCAGGTATACAATGCTGCAAGCGGCTCCTTGACTCTGCATGCCTAAGATGGCTATCACTTCATTGTGAAGAAGGATTTATGCTAAATGCAGTGAGCAGGTCAAGTTCATTCCTGTCTCAAGTTAAGAATTCATTAAATGCTCCCACTGAATACAGGAGGGTGAGGCCCAGCCATTTGTCACCACAAATACTGCATAAAAAGGAAGATATTCAGCACGAGAACCTGTTTTTCAGCTCAAGTCTTTATCCTCAGCTCAGCAAACTAGGCTTAGGCTCTTCTCCTTTTCAGATCGGTTTCTCCCCATTTTCTGCATTAGCCAGTCCTCCTAGCACAATGAGGCTGCAAGGAACAAAACAGCTCACAGCAGAAAGCAGTGCTTCTCCTGCAAAATCTGCCTTCTTTCTCCTCTACCATCCAAGCCTTACCTAGAGGACTTCCATTTCTGTTCTGATTTTTGTGCAGTTGAGTCACTAGTGAAAGATACTGGGTGTGTTTAAGGCAGCTATGTGTTTCTTAAGCAGTAAGTTTTTTCTTTTTAGACTCCAATCCTTTTCTCAATCTCTCAAGCAATCTTGGCTCAATTCCTTGTGAGCAAAGACAGTAAAGTGTGCTTCCTGCATGTAAATTGTTACCAGATTTTTGGAATAGGTCTGCTTTTGGAGAATGTCTTATTTTCCCCCTCCAAATGCAGGATACTCTCCATCACAGGATTTTTATAATCTTGCTATCTCCTTCCTGATTTTCCAGGCATACAGTCTGTTTAAAAACACATACAGAAGTTGCTTGTTACTCTGAAGTATTTAACATTTGAAAAGTATTTTGCAACTGTCCAACTCTACCTCAGAGTCTTGTGCAATTTGAGCAAATACACTCAATTTTCACAAGAAATAAAGATCTGCAGAAGTTAAACAATTTTACCATGGCACAAGTAAGTTGTTGCCACTACCACAACTGGAATTTGAGTCCTATGCACAAAGTGCCACTACAGTGGTAGCTGCAGCTGTCCTTCTAGAGCACATGCTGCGTTTTATGACCGAGGGACATGAGCTGGTAACCAATACTAGTATCTAGAAAGATTCCCACTGCGTCAAATGAGACTTACAATGGAGTCCTCTATCGTGAAGGTGGATTAAAAGTCTTTCTCACTACTTTGGCCTCAGAAGTATATCTGCCTTTGCACACAGGCAGCACAGAGCGGCCAGAGGCAGCACAGGAAGAACTGTATGAAAGCTTTGTGAAATGTGCTTATTCCTAAAAGCTGCTCTTCACCTTTAGATTATGAAAGAGCTGCAAAGGTATGTTCCTGATGGCAACTCAAGAACTCCAAGCCAACACGCCAAGTAATCAAGGGCCCAGCCAGCTCCCCACAGCAGCCCCGCACTGTCAGCCATCTAACAGCTCAGTGCCTGCAGCAAGAACGTAAGGGTCAGTCTGAGAAGTCATTAGGAGCAAGGGACACATACAGAGCTGTCCCTTTAGCTCACAGCTTGCTTGCATACCCACCACATTCAGCACAAAACCAGTACCATTACACTTCATGGAAGCACTGGGAACAAGGCTTAAATGATAAAGCACAAGGAAGAGCTAGTATTGACACACAGCACTGATCTCCAGTCAACACCTAGTACTCGTTTGCAGATTCTTGGCCAAAAAACCACTGCCACCCCAGCTAGAACTGGCACTCTGATCCACAAACATCTGCCCTGCTACTTGGAGAGGAAATGGTTTGAGCAGGGCCACTTGTTCACACAGACAGCAGTGCTAACCAGCATTCACCTGCCAGACACACAGTTCCATGACCACTTACAAAGCACTTAGAAGGTGCTAGACAAAGCAACAAGAGTTTGAAATGCCATGCAAGAACTAATGTTTCATGCTTATATCTCACCCAGGGCAAGTTCTTTCTCCTGCTAACAGCCTCTACTGCTCGGAACAGCTTCCACTCGGTCAGTGTGACAGGCAGGGTTGTGTCCTTCACCATTTTCCCTTGGAGGGAAAGCCCTCCTTGGGAGGGCTTTAGCTCAAGAGTCTTTCGACTGAGGAAGGGAGGTTTTGGGGGAGGCTAGAAGACAGAATCAGAAGAGATGGTTAAGCATGGGATTAAGCTTTGGTCCAAACTCAGAGTCAGAGGATTCAGATTACAAATTATAAACTTCCTGCAGCCTCCTGCTCTAGCAAGCTCTCCATCCCACCCCCACCCCACATATTCAAGCATCTCATCAACACTCTCTTGTTCCTATTCTTTTGCTCCTTAGCAGCTCAATCAACTGCCACTGACACGGCTGTTTATTATCATTTACATTAATAACAAACAATAAAAAATAAGGAAAACGAATGACATAGTAGTGGGGAATGTAGGGCCAGGGGGAGCACAAAACAGGGCCCTTGTGAGGATGACTCTCTGTAAACACGTGACAATTCAATCCCCTCACCCTACCTTGGGAGCCCTACTGGTGCTCCGGGTGGGTGGTAGCTTCCAGACAGATGGGACCTTCCACAGGGGTAAGGGCAGCACTCCGATATCTTCATACGGGTTCTCTCTTGCAGGACCTGGAAAAAGTATTGGACAGGGGATTTATCAAAGGAGATAAAGTCCTGCATTCTTGCAAGGGATATAAGCAGGGAGAGTGTGCAGTTGTCTGCCAAGCTTTAACAGGGTCTGAGAGAGACCTGTTTTAAGATTAATTAGGTTCCCACCACTCCAAGATCCTTCTAACCCACTACATCAACTTGGCAAACTGTACACAGATTCAGCAAAACAAAACACTTCTAACACTGCAGAGAAATGAGCTCTATTGCAAAGCAGCTAATTTTGCCAGTGTTCACACTGATCTCTGTGCAGCACTGGAGCAAAGCACTTGAAGGGTGCTAATAAAGGAATCAATTCTAGTGACCTTCCATGACATCTGAAATCAGACTGTTCACATGCAGATAGCTACTAACAAAGAACCCCATATGGAAAGACCTTAAACGTCACAGAGTTGGAAAGAGCCTCAATGCATTCTCATCTTCATTCCTCCCACCCCAGCAAATTTGCTACCCTTAAATAAATTGAGTGCATCCTCCAGAAGCACAGACACATACAGATAATGTCCTCATAGATGTTGTCTTCTGACTGTGTGCAGACAAGCCTGGATCCTGTAGTGCCGTTTGTCTCTTCTCGAAGTCTGTGGGAACTGGTGGTTGCCATCCGGTTGCGGAAGCCCTGGATGTCTTCAAACTCAAAAGATTTCCTAGAGGAAAACCAGTGTAACTTCTTCTAAAGGCACCTGCATGTACCAGTGAGTTGCTGTCTCCAGTCCACACAGAGTATGGTCCTCCTTGGGGCCATCAAGCACATGGATGCTCCATTCTGGACTCTGATTTCCAAGTGCTGAGGTTTAACCCCAGCCGGCAGCTCAGCCCCACACAGCTGCTCACTCGCTCCCGTCCAGTAGGATGGGAGAGAGAATCAGAAAGGTAAGAGTGAGAAAAATGCGTGAGTCAAGATAAAGACAGTTTAATAGGTAAAGCAAAAGCTGGGTACACAAGCAAAGCAAAATAAGGGATTCATTCGCTATTTCCCCTTGGCAGGCAGGTGTTCAGCCATCTCCAGGAAAGCAGGGCAGTGACTTGGGAAGACAAATGACATCACTCCAAATGTGCCCCCCTTCCTCCTTCTTCCCCCAATTTTTATTGCTGAGCACAACATCATATGGTCTGGGATATCCCTTCGGTCAGTTGGGGTCAGCTGTGAGAAGCAGAAAAGGCCTTGACTCTGTGTAAGCACTGCTCAGCAATAACTAAAACACTAGTGTGTTATCAATACTATTTTCATCACAAATCCAAAACATAGCACCACACAAGCTACTATGAAGAAAATTAACTCTATCCCAGCCAAAACGAGTACACCAAGCAAGTCCTACTCACTTACTCTGGGAGATTTTTAAATTAAAAATGAAGTTGGAGGCTCCATGGCCAAGCACACTCCAAGTAGGTATGGCAAATTCCATCCTGTCACAGAGGCAAGAACCCAAAACATGTTTTGCAGACTAAGCACTTGCAGCAGTACTCAGAATCAGGGCACTGCTTTCTACTGGATCTCTCCTACTGCTCTTGCTAAGGGCGTTATCACATTTGCAAGTTTGCATTCTCATACACTTGGTCTCCGTTTCAAAATTATGGCACAGAGGTCACAAAGGAGCTGGCAGGGATTTAGCGCATCACCATAAAATTTGCTTTGTTGTTGCACACTTTGCCACAGTGAAAGAAGGTTTCAAGAGTCCCAGCCACATCTCCACCTATAAATGCTCACACTACTCTCTAGCACAGCTGCCCTAAGCACCTCATTTGTAAGCAGAACTAGCATCAAGCTAGCTCAGAGGTTCTTTACTCTGTAACAGGAACCTACACATGGGAAAGAGGGAAGAGTAGCCAAACCTACTGCAACAGGGGTACCCACAGCTGACAGCCTCCAACTTCAAGCAACAAGAGAATCTTTCGCTCACAGGAAAGCTGGAACATTTAGCAGCCATACTGTCCCAAGAGAACGCTATTCTGTAATCCACAAATTGCATCTGAAGACAAGCTCGGGGCAAGAAGCAGGTAGCATTCTCCCTGGGGCCAGCATATTGTCACTCAACTCTGGTTTAAGGTGTGGGACTGACATTTGTTTGGAGATTTTAGCCTTCTTTGCAAGATTATCAGCAGCAAAAACAGCGCATATGCAATGCTAGAAAGGGGATACTTTCATCCAGAAATATCCTCCCCCCATCAACAGAGGCATCATCAGTACTAGCACGTCCACAAGGATATTGTGGCAAGTTGTTTAAACTCATCTAGAAACCGATTTAAGGAAACATGTTTCAGACACGAGAGATGAATCAATGTACCTCTGGGTCCTCCCTCTGATCCTCCTGCTGGCTATTCTCTTCTCAGGATTGTTGGAGGATGACACAAAGTCTCCTCCATGCTGCTTTCGGAGGGAAGCTTCCCTGGTAGCACTGGCATTGCTACAGCTACTAGCACCCTTTTCTGCAAGATAGCGGAAAGTCCTACGGGGCTTGGGTGGCGGCACAGCAGCTGGCTCCTCCTCTTGCCCCTCAGCCTCAGAGTAAATGTTTTTCAAGCTCCTCTCTGCCCTGCAGAGAGAGTCCACTCCTTTGATTTTAAATTCTCTTTCTGTGGAGCCACAGCTCCCTCGCTTCCTCTGAAGGTCCAAGGGAACTGGTGGGGCTTTGCCAGGCAGAAGGGGATCTACTCTCCTCCACAGAATTTGTGAGGTATAGAAGTTCCCTGGGGGCAGTGTCACTCCTGTGTCCAGGAAGCCTGCTTGCCACTTTCCTTTCTCCTTGGCTTGGGAAGCTAGGCTGCATGCACAGGGTTTGAGGTCACCGCAGTCATCAGTCTGCAAGCAGCTCCATGCATCTTCCCTGAAGTCCAAACCCAGGCTTTTTGGATCTTTGGACCCAGTCTTTCTGCCCTTCTCTGTACGTTCTGGCTTCACTTTGGGTAGAGCATTGCAGCTGAGATCATACTTTACTCCGAAGTCCTTAAGCTGCTGTTTCTCCTTGCTGGAGTGTCCTTGTGTCCTTCCCTCCCACTGGGAGATCTTCTGTTTGATGTTACGGCAGTGGCTCCGGGAGAGGGTCTGCACAGCAGAGCAGGAGAAGCTATTGTCCACTGACTGTGTTGGGTGCATGGCAAGTGCCAACGTGCTTACGAACACCCCATCTCCAGCCTTGTCCAGGTCTACCTGTGTCCCGCACACACCACGCCGGCATGAGACTCCAAAGCACCCAGTGATGTCCAAGAGCACCTGGGTGTCAGCTCTGCAAGGACTACCTGCTAGCACAACCTGCAGACAAAAAGAAGAGAAGAACCATCAGCTGCACTCCAGCCATACACACCACCAGGAACTCCCAGCTGCTTTCTGGCAATTGCTGAAGAACATTCCTCTCCAAATCACATGTTCAAGACTGGCTTCCAGAGCACGCTCCTCACAAAGCCTGTTTCTGTAGCACACATCTGGGAGGGCTAACAAAAGGAAGTGGAGGTCTCCCTGGCTTAAAAAACAAACAAAACACCACAACAGGAACAAAGCACAGCCAGGGATCCCAAGGGTCCAAACTCAAGGAAATTATTTAACAGGACAAGAAAACAGCAGCACAGCCTGTCGTGCAGCAGAGCTCTCAGCCAGCCCCTCTGCTGCTTGCTTGTTCTGATGCAGGCCAGGCAGGAGTGCTCAGTTTCTCCTGATGCTCTGTACTGCTCAGAGCACCTCAGGCAGCACACAGCCAAACCACTGCAGCACGATGCCTCTACCAGAGATCTCAACACAGCAGAGACACAGAAATGTACAAGATACCACACTGGCTCTATAGGGAACCACATCTACTTCTCCAGAGAGTCAGCAGCAGCAGGATGGCTGCTGCTTCACACAGGACTAGAACAGTTGTGATGACTGGAGAAGAGGCCAACTGCACTACTCCTCCCAGAAGTGCTCTCCCACTGCACAACACAAGTGAAAACCTGTCTGATGTTCTGCTTCTCAATACCTGACCTAAATTTGCCATCAGAGAGACTGGAGGGCAGTGGTGCGCAGCGTTTGGCTTGCAGCCAGGGAAGTTTTAAAAGGCATACAAGAGAGGCCAAAAGGCAGAGGAAACTGGTGAGTTCTCGTGCTCAAGAGGAAAATAGACCTGTATTCAGATCAGCAGAGGAAAAGGAATGCTAAAGAAACACTATGACTTCTCTTACCCCAGCAGAGCCTGTGCAAACAGGAGCTATGCTGTTTCAGACTACCCCAATGTATAATCCAAAGGATACAGCGAAGAGTCCTCCAGACAGTCCTGCAGCAAGAAAAGCAGGTGAAACTGCCAGGGAGAAGTAGGTGGCTGTACAGATGCAGCACCTACAGGTCTGGTATGACCTCAGTACAGACATTTCGTATGTGGAGTCCCCAGCCTTGGAGCCCTTCAGCTCTACCTGCATCTCACAAAACATCCCAAATATTCTCAGATATGCCAGCATGGTTGAAAATTCATCTTGAACAGAAGGCAGCAGCCTATAGGCCCTAATATGCCCTGTTCCTCTCTTTCTCCAGGCAGTTACCCCATTTCAGAAGTTCCAACCCTCCAGGTCTATTTAACATTCTCCATTTGTATTAGGAGACAAGCGCTCAGTGAAGCTTGGGTTCAGGCCAGGTCACCATGCAGCAAGCCTGGCCATGCTGGCTTCAGTAACGTTCCGCTGACACTAAGAAGTCTCCCTGCAAAAAGCAGAACAAAAGCAGCAAGCAGTCCCCATTCCAGATATACAGCAAAACCAGAGGACATCTGCAGAAAGCAAGCCAGGCTTGCTCCAGGTGAGAACACAGGTCATAGTCAAAGCCTGTACTCAGGCTCAACCTGACAAATCCAGCCAGCTCTCACTGCCATAAACTGGGTACATATCCTCCAAAGCTGCTATTACAACATCCAGTCTCCATTGACTCACCAGAGCCTGTAAGAATTTGCAGAATCAAGGATGGGAAGCAAACCAAGCTAGAAGACAGAGGAGCTTAAACCTGCCTGACAAGGATTCATGCCTCATGCACCAGGCTGGGTGCGGACAGACCCTATCACAGCAGACGCCTGCATCCTTCCCACCGTTGATACTGAACCTCAAATTCCAGGGCTCCAGCACTACCGGCTCTATTCCTGGTGCTGCTGATCTGCTTGGCAGAGCCTTTTGTGGTGCAATTAAAATAAAAGCACTGGCCTTGTCAGACCTACTTGACATAGTGAGAAAGCTCATTGATGTAGAACAGCCCAGGGTTCCGCAAGCAACTCAGCTTGGGCACACAAGGGACCACGCCTTGGCTCTCTGCTGCACTTTCACACTCTCTACCAAAGCAGTATTGCTCACGGTGGCAAGAAGCTCACTACTGCCTATCTCCAGAGAGAACGGCGCGTGTTCCTGCAGTCTAGCAGGACTCCCTGCTCAGCAGTGAATGGACTTACCTTGGACAATGTGGGTAAGCAAGTGAAATGGGGATGTTTGCTCTGTTAATCAGCTCTCTGTCCCTCATCAGCATTCCGCCCTGTCCTCAACACTTTCAAAGCCACACCGTTCCTGACCACCACCCACCACATTTCCAAAGACGCGAGGTGATGCTACTACTGTGCAGGCAGCACTGCAGCTCCAGTGTCAGCTCCAGCAGGGCACAGCACTCCCTCCCCACTCCTGCCAGTAGCAAGGTGCAGGCAGGGGATGAGCAAACAGAAGGCTGCTGATCCCCTCGTGGAGGGGCAGGGAAAGAATGTTCAAGAATGACAGAGAGCACACAAAACAGCAAACCGCACTCTCCCTGACTCCTTGCCCAGGTTACTGCAGTACTACCGCGCCCCACTGCGAGACCCCCTTCCCGCACAGCCAGGCTGCTCCCCTGCTGCTCCAGGAAGCAAGGGGCCCCTGCTCTCTCCTATAATTAGGCATTGTTTCCAAAACATCCTGAGCCAGAGCAGAGCCATCCTTCCCCAAGCCCTGTCTGCACAGCCCTGATTAGCAGACAGGAAGGCAACTTTCCCCTTTCCTATGCCATTGCAACTACTCTACAGCAACAGTGCTCAGGGCCACTCCTAAGGACCTGAAGCACAAGCTAGAAAAGACGCAAAGGCTCTGATGAGGAAAGCCAGGCTAGGAGAGAGGTGAAACAGCCTCCTCTCAGACAGTGCAGCTTAGGACCAGGCACCTTTACTCACTGCCAGGTCTTCAAACACGGCACTACTGAACGCAGAACACGCACAGGGACAGGCCCCCAAAGGACGTTGCAGTGTGGAGTAACGGGCTTATTTGCAGGACTAAGCACTTCAAGGCCAGTATATGCATCCATGGAACACATGCAGCTCCATGCTGACAGCAAGCCCACATGTGGCACCAAAGGCTCCCTTGCTGCCCAACAGCACCGGCAGCTTTCTTCTCCAAATACACCAGCTGTCATCTCCCCCTGGGCTCAGACCAGCAGCCTGGTAAAATATCTGCATGCAGCATCCATGAGCACAAATCATCGCACAGAGTAGACTGAGTAGCCCTGCTCAGCTTCCCAGTTGGGTCCATCCTCAGAGTGCGCAGGGCTGCCTGTGCTCAAGCAGGTTAGGTCTGCTGGCTGCCAGCCTGCCCCATATCCTTCCTCCTATGATTCATGTTGGTAAGGGTGCAACAAAAAGTGCATTTGCTGTAGTTTCTTCATGCAGCCTGCCTTATTTCTGCTTCCTGATATAGAGCCGTGGCCCAAGTCAGTCTAATGTTCCTGACCTCTCCTACTGTCCACATCTGTGCTTCCAGGATGAGGTACAACCAGCAACTGAGTAACACAGTAGAGAAGCACAGTCCCAGTCAGCATACAGGTACTGGTGAGACTAAGTCTGCAGTGCTGCCGCTGGTTCTGCTCACTGATGAATGCCCAGAGTTCAAGCAGTTCACCCAGTGCTCACGCAGTTACCTGACTGTAGCATCCAGAGCTACATAGACCCACATGCAGAAACAGGATCCACATGGAGTTTATTTCCTCTCCTTGAGCATAAAACTACCAAGTAACATTGCTTCTCCAGCCAGTGAAGCTCCACATACTAGCTGGAGAAGTAGCATTACTTAGGTGGTGTTTCACTCTTCAGCACCTTTGAGTAAATTTCACTCACCTAAGAAGCCACAGAGGTTCAAGCACAACAGCGAAGGTCTTTCCAAAGCATGTCACTGAACTACCACATACAACTAGAAACACATGGCTCCTGGCTCACCTTGAACAGAGATGGTATAACACAAGCTTAAAGCACCCAACATTCTCTCCTGCTCAGTGCTGCTCCACCAGCCACAGCCCTGAACTGTGTCTTCCAAAATAACCACCTGAGGAAGAGAAGAATGCAGCTCTTCACCTGTTCAGGCTTGCAAGCCAGGTGGCTGCTATCAAGAACTAGGCATTTCATCTAAGCTTATCATGTGAGGCAGGGCAAGGGTAGAGACTGATTTTGGTGAAGAGAGTGCAGAGCGGGGTGGTCTGACCAAGCTAAGTAACCCTCAGGAGCAGTCTGAAATAGGCCAAAACACAGCCTGAGGACACAGAACTAGTAGAGACCACCTGAGTCAGGCAGCCAGCACTTGTATCTCAGGGACCACACATGCCATTCCTTTCACAAACTAACCAGACTTAACATGACTGCTTCTCTCCTGACTTATCCTTCCAAACTCTTTCAGTGGCTCCAGTACACTTCCCAGTATTTCCACAAAAGCCAAATTTATCATCCCTACTGCATTTGTACTTAGAGCAGTTTGGTGTAGCCAAGAATACTGATTTATTTCATTGAAAGCAGTAGTTTTAGGTGAAAAGAAATTAAATAATTTCTAGACAAAGTATCACACATCTCCCAAAAGACAGCCTCTCCCATCCATGCTGTTTGAAGACAGCTTCTATATCTTTATCTGAAGCAGAAGAAGGAGGCACATTCACACCAGATGATAGGTAGCCCTGACTCTTTTTCCAATTCTGAAAGCCAGAGAGCACGCTAAGCATTTTCCATGCAAAGTCTCAAGACAATTCCATTTCCTGAAACCACATGCTAACCACATGCTTAATGAGAGAACACTGCCAGAGGTGTTCAAGAATAAAATACTCTTTGATGCTGAGGTCAAGCCCACCCACTGCAGGTGCTGCTGGTACCCCATAACCCCCCTTACCACACTCACACCAGTAGCTGATTAGCTAAACAAAGGCACTAACGCACCATCTTACCCTATCCTGCCACACAACAGGCATGAGAACATGTAAATCACTGACTTGGCAAGCCCATGCAGTT